ATTTTACCTCCAATAAGAATGTTTGCCTTTATACCTCATTGGATGATCAGTCTAATAATTATTTCTCCTGGTGTAGATTAATTTACTGAGATTTGCACACATTCTTTCCAAACATCAGATTGCACCTGTGTCGTGTACTTGATCAGCTCTTTTGTTTAAATCATTATAAGTACAGCTGGTACAATCAAGGCCTGATTAAAGGCATAGAAAATGGAGGAGTAGTAAAATGGTTGCCCCACCCATCTGGATAAGGGCAATGGGAGGATGGGATGGCAGCAATCGATATAAATGGTAATTGGTAACGTCGTGCTACAGTTGTAACTAAAAAATCTCGAGCAGGATTATTACCTTATAAATTGTTGCTTACCCGTAATATTCACATTCACCATTCTTATTAAACAATGTATGTACCGAAAATAAAAGATATGAATTTACATTTCTGTAATGTTTTGTAGTCCGATTCATTAGGCACACAGTTTTATAATGATATGGATAAATTAACACAAATACTGGTTTGGGAGGTTGGTTTGTTGGACTGTCTTATTACCTATTAACTTTCTAGCAATTGAACACTCCTGACGAGAAACGTTATATATATGTGTGTGTGTGTGTGTTTGTGTGTGTATGTGTTTGTGTGTTTTTAGATGTATTCCATGACGAATTCATTAATACTAATGACATCAACGTGACACTATTTATAGTATAACAAACAGAGTACACGTTAATACAATAGCTAAACAATGGTTGGTGGGTGACATACGTTCAGGAATGGAAGATGTCAGACATGACAGATGTTTTCAGTGACAGAGAAAAACATATGACCAAATATAGAAACAATCTTGTCTAACTGTCAAATTATATTTTTATAAAGTGCATTTGCACATATTATTAATGTCTGGGATAATATATAATCCCCTTTTATTGTTTACATTCCCTTCATGTTGGAAAGTTGTACAAGTTTCCAAGGCAATGTGAATGTGGTAACAGTTTTTGATATATGACTCTTGTACAAAATAAAAGTAACTTGATAAGATAAGTAAAGCATATGTGATTTGTTTAAATATGTATCAGCTGTGGAGAGATGTTTGAAACCAGTGATAGTGTGTATAAAAATTTTAACAGTAGCACTTTTAGCTTTAAAAAGCAACAGATTAGCATGTTGCATTTCAAAACTTTTTGTTCCAGCTGAGTCCATGAATGTTTTGCACACCAGTAGAGCACCAAGAAATGGGTTACTGAGCCTGGATCTGAATTCATTTTTTGTTTTGTCAACAATACTGAACAATCTCTCACTGTCAGCATTAGAATGGTAAAGAACCAATATTTCTTTCATAACCTGACAAAGAAGAGAAAATTTATATCTTCCAGTGACTGGGTTTTTGAGCTGGGAAATAAGGTGCCATTGCACATCAACTCTATCTGCATTAAGTATATTGCCAGGTAGGATGTCAACTTGAAACTTACGGAATTCTATTTCCAGATGATCCAAGGTAGACCCGGGTGGCAATAGAAAGGGATATCTCTTGACAAATAATCTAACACTTTTAAAGCTTTTTGACTGTCTCTCATTTATATCAGCAATTGAAGCATTTAAAAGCACTTCATCTCCATATGGGAATTTCTGGAGCACAATAATCTCTAACATTATCATACAACACTTTCTCAGCAAGGGTAGAATTGTGTTCTGTGAATTCTCTTGCTTCTGCATCAATTGCAAGATCTTCATTATCTTTCTGGTTTACTCTGTCATGAAAATCTATGTCACTTAAAACTTTGGCTGATGAAATTATTTCTGGCCTTAATAAACCTTATTAGCAAATCTGACAACTGGTTTGACAGAATCTTGTGCATAACTTGAATACGTGGTTCTTTCTGTATGAACATTTGCTGTATCAAACAATGGAATAGCACTCTTCTTAAACAATCAATACAGCTGTGTAACTGGATTATTAATTTTTTTTAAAACCATCTTACATTTTGATTCTTCTAAACAGTGAACAGATTCTGTTTATTTCAGTGACATCTTAGTATCCACTTTGCTAGTTTTTCCCTTAGAAGAACGAGAAGCTCCAGTATGCTTCTTACTAACTACATTTAATTTATTCCCTGAAGAACCAGATCTAGTTGGCTGATTTAGCTTGCTAACGATGGGTTGATGTTTTCTTTCACAACATTTATCCTTCACAATCTTATGCTGAGCCTGGAGACCTAACAGATGGATAGATAGAGGCTTTTCAAATAAAAATTCCATGGATTTAAATTTCTTCCTTTCTGACGACCCAATCTGTTCATTGTTAATATTTCTGTCTATACTTTCGTCTCTTGTTTTCTTCTTTCTTACAATAACAGACTCTACTTTTGTGCTACTCTTCACTTTTTTCCCGGTTTCTCTGTGCACATTCACTTTCAGTTTGAAAGAAAGCATGTAGTGCTGTCCATATCTCAAGTAAACAGCTAATATATTTGACAAGGGATAACCATCTTGTACACATATGCTTTATTAATTTGTAATCTTTAAGATCAAACTGATCTTGCAACAACTTTAGAGCTTGTTTCCTTTTACTACTTTTCTCCAAATGATAGTAGATATCAATTAGCAAATGACCAATATCTACTTCTAATTTATCAGCAGCCTTTCCAGCAGCAAGGTGCATCAAATGACAGGGACAACCTGTTACGTACACTGATAGAGACATTTTAAAAATATAGGAAGCAACTCCTTTATGAATTCCTGTCATCACTGATGCATTATCCGATGAAAACCCCATACAGTTCTGCCAACTTATGTTTCTTCAAAGCGTTATCAAGCAATTCAAAAATGTTTTCTCCGGTGGAATCTACCGCTAATTCTGGTAATGTAAGAAGAATACTCATTACTTTGCTCTTTTCATTGTCGAAGTATCTAACACAGACTGGGCACAACTTTTTGTCATCGTAATCGCAACTCCATTCTGTGGCAATACTAAACAGTCCGATTTTCATGCCTTCCGCAAATTTACGTGAAGTATCTTCTGCTAAACACCGAACAATATTTGAGGATTTTGTTCTTGCACAAGCATAGTTTGCGGCAATTTTGGAATCGAGAAACATCCGTTTGAACAAAGGACCAACGTGGTCTGTTACCGCTAAGGGTATTCCGTGTTCTACTATGAACTCAGTAAATAATACCTCTGCAATACATCTCTATAATCAAGTTCATCAAGTGCTCTAAATAATAAGTTACCTTAGTATTTGAGTCAGTATGACGAGTTAGCTTGACGTGTTTCTTTGTTTTCTTGTGTTTATCAACATCAAATTTACCACCATGTCCAATTTTAAATCGGTTCCGCATAGTCTGTAGTGGGCAAGGTGCTGCCCTAGAATGGAACGCTGTATTATGCCATCCATATATTCCTCTTTGAATCTTTGGAGGATTTTGGATTTTGTCTTTTTCTGATCCATCTGTGAATTTTTAAAAAAAAATTATTTGTGCACTAACGCACACATCGGCTAGAATCCATCGGACGACTTTTAGCTCCAAATCTTAAAATTCTTTCCAAAGATCATCCAATGAATGTGGTGCTGCCCTCTAATAGAAAGCATCGACTAAATTAAATTGCACTCTGAAGCGCCAAACACCTATAGACTGGTTCTCTAACAAAATAGGATTTAAAAAAAGGAATCTGCGAACAAAGATTACAAATTAGAAAACCAGTCAGAGTCTGCTTTCTTCACTGTGAACCTACTTACAGATGCTATAAATAGAATCCAAGGTCAACGGTTGAAAGGAAAAAGGACAGTTGCTATAAATAGAACATAATACTGTACTTTTTAAAAGTGCATGCAAGTCTACGGACAAGCGAACTCGTAGTTACAAATAAGCCGTCTTTTCAAAACTACGGTCTGAGCAATCATTGGGATGTTAATAAAAATGAGAAAAAAATAGTTTTGGGGGGAGCCGGATATATCGAAAACGCGTAATCCAGATGCGCTTTCGCGTAAGGCGTAATTTAGTGGGGGAAAAAAAGCGGAATGATTACGCCAAAGGCGTAAATGTTGGCATGTATGCTAGTACAACGGTATCAATCGGACGCATCTGCCTCGCTCTTAAAGGCAACTAAACCAGCCAGCATGGCACCGCTCCCCACCCTACCCAACAAATCACCAAACAAGTAGCCCACCCGATTTTATTTCAGCTGGGCAGACTTTCTCATGATATCTTCACCACTTATGCCTATGGGTGTCCCAATAACAATTTTGTGTAAGCCACCTAAGCAATTGACCAAATTTTCTAGAGTTATGAGTTTGGAATGTTTTCGTGTTGAAATTTTGCGTACTTGGCGTATTTATAAGGGCCGAAAGTACTCCCAATCTACTTGATGTACACCACCCATTATAACTTTTAGCTTCGCATAAATGAGTATAGGTAAGTGGTTTTTGACCGCCGTCTGAAAGGATTATGTATGCGTGGTGGTCTTTAAGGGCCAAAGTGGAGAGTCAGCTTCAAATTTTTCTGGTCAGCAGGCCGCGCAGCCTGGGCTGTTCCGAGCTTTAGAGCTTGTCCGTGTCCATGGAGAATGTTACAGAACAGCAGGAGAGGGGGGTGTCAAGGACTGTCCCTTACCTTTGATATGATACTAAACACCCAGAGTCATGATAGGAAATCAAGCAAGAGACTGCCGAGATCAAACTCCCAACCATGCATTGCTGATATTTGTACCTAGCGCCAGTTTTGATGTTGCCAGCTAAGGTGTTTATGTGTGTGGGTCAGTGTTGGATAGCAGGTAGAGTTGGATAGCAGGTATAGCTTCCTGGACTGTTTCTTCCTTTGATGCTTGACTGGCAATTTTGTTTTTGGCTAGTTGAACTTTTCTGAAAGGCAATTGCAGTTGTCAAATCTTTTCATTATGGCAATTGATGTTGGTGTCGTTGTTTCTCCATTATGCAAATCTTTTCATTATGGAAATTTTTTCTGCCTTGACTGGGTCATCTTATGTTTCACGTACTCTCCTTCTTCAACCGCTTCGATGTGGCCTAGTGGTTAGAGCATCTGCCTCGGATGTGGAAGGTCGTTGGTTCGATCCTTTGTCGAGTCATTCCAATGACTTAAAAAATGGTACTAACAGCTTCCTCGCTAGGCGCTCAGCATTAAGAGGTTAGTGTTAGGACTGGTTAGACTGGTGTCAGGATAATGTGACTCTGTCGGACATCATGCTTCATGTCTGCAGCATGATGCCCCAGTGCTAGACATCACTATAAACTGCCACACTGCAGACATCGTAGCGATATAACTGATAAATAGTTAAAGCTACGTTAAAAATCATAATCACATCACATCAATCTCTAAAGAGTATGCTTCCAAGGAATCATACACAGTAAACCACGCATATTTAATAGGGACTACAATAATATAGCCCATTTCATACCGAATTTAACCGAGTTGCTCTGTAATTATCCGAAAACCTCCGAGTCCCTTTATACTCCAGCCAATCAAACGCTGGTAGGCATATGTACACCACAAAATGGCGTACTTTCTTGTTTAGAAGTATCAGATTAAAACAAATTAAGAAATGCCTACTACTTGTATCGTCAGAGGTTAAAAAAGTAATACAATCAGGTTCATTATGAAGGACAAAACTATAATTCTCATGTGAATCCAGGAAAGCTGTTTCCTTCAATAAATAAAAATGTCTCGCAATAGACAATAGGTCAGATTCCCAAGTATATCTATATTTTACATTAATTCGGCTCAGAAAACAAAAGGCATAAATTCTGTCGCAGTAACTTCTGTTAGCTAACTGTTATGTTTACATAAACGGTCGATGCTTGTCCTGACCTTAATTCGGGTCACGCTAGGGATGGTCAAATAAATTCAACTCAGCCGTATGAACCCGTATGTAACCCCCACTCGACTGCTGACCCTACCAATCTAGCAGTCTTAAGTTATATATGCTTAGACCCTCAGATCTAACTATTCTAAAATAGTTTACTCAACCAATTAGATATTACAAACCAGCATATAGATATACACTTAAGTGATCAATTAAATATTACAAACTAGTATATGAATATACATGTAATGTTAGGTTATACTCATTTTAGAGTTATTCCATAAAACTATGAAATATTACCCATCATGCCTTAAACTTAATTCATTTAAATTCCTAATCACTCCTACGTATTCAAGATTCAATTACATGCAATCTTTTCAACTAATCTAATGAAATTTTAATTACATTCAATCATGCCAATTCTCCAAATGAATTGATAATTAGGAAATCAAAGAATAAAATGTCATGACTAGCATTTCACTAAAATCCTGAAAAATGAAATAATACATACATACATCATAGCAAGAATACGTTTGCAAAATAGATCAACAAATGAAATAACATATTAAAATCGGGAAACTAAGATTGCGTACCTTTTGCCGTTTCTTTTTGTTTCCACGAACCTCACGTATAGTCCGTCTCCTAACTGAGAGAACTATCCGGCCCCTTACTCAATAACGAAAACGTACTTTCTACGAATTTTGGAGTCATACTAACTTTCCCTGCGAAAGATCGAAGACGACTAAAGAATTTCCCTAAAGTAAAACCTTTAGTTTCTTACAGAGTTACGCCCATAAATCCATATTAACCAATCGGAATAGACAGTTTCCTAAACCTGATCGTAGAATGTTTTGATTGACAAGAAAACTAAACAACTAATCATGCCGTAATTAATCATTTACTTTGAGCTATCATCTATAGCCAGATGCCGCCTTTACCCTGCCGATTTTGGGGAAAGGTCTTATGTCATTCTTTTGTACCATAGCATCTGACTCGGTCATGTTACGTCGGCTAGAACGAACTCCCTTTTGACGTTCAGATATGAAATGAAAATAATCATCTAACTATGTCTAGCCCTTTCTACTTTAATTAAGTTGACTTTGATACAATTCCTTTAAACAAAGCTTCTAAGAGTTTTCAAAATTCGACACATCACACACACACACACACACATATATATATATATATATATATATATATATATATATATATATATATATATATATATATATATATATATATATATATATATATATATATATATGAATGGCTTTCAAACAGCTTTGAACAAATAATCATGGTGTTTGGTTGGCAAATATATAACTGCCAGTATGTTGTTGAAACATAAAATGTGTTCATATAAATAAAATCGTATATCGATATTGTCTGTTGAGCATTGATTCAGAAAAGAAAAACTATGTCCCTTAAAGAAAAAATCCCATTACCTGCCACCCACAGGCACCAAACGCAGCAAGCACCATAAAAACAACTAGGCTGTTCACTTCTGATACAAATAAAAATGAAAGAATACCGACATGTACCCAAAATTATTTAAAGCAAACCATAAAGTCTCCACTGGTTTTGAGGACATTTGCGGTTAAAAGGGCAGTTTGTGTCACTATGCACATTTTATAAATGTTTTATTCTGACCGTGTGTTTTGACCACAATGATGATATATCATAGATATACATTTAATCTTACATAATCAGAAATAAAATTCATGCTTTAAATTTTTTCTCTATCGTTAACTTGTATTATGTGTGCTGTTCAGAAAAAGGACACTCAAGATATGACGTAAATGAATTTGCATTTTAGAGAATGGACATATCAAGTAAGTTTCGTCATTATAATATATGCAGCGGTAATTCTATAAAAGGAAGCAATGTCTATAAAATACATTACATCAAGGGTGCACACACTTTTTCAGCATGCGAGCTAATTATAAAATAACCAAGCCAAAATGATCTACCTACCACAAAAATGCATAACATGTATAGGCTAACGTTAATTTTTTTTTTAATGCTACGCGACCTACTCACACTACCTTCGCGATTGACCTGTCAATCGCAATCGACGTATTGTGCTGCCCAGCATTACTTCTATTACAGCCGCGATCAATATAACATATTCTCTCGCAAAAGGAATCTGCGTAATATATTATATATAGTAAAGTCGTATCTGAGTAACTTAGCCTCGTTTTCGCGTTACATTAATATTCATTAACAATGGGCTATTGAGACACGGTATGCAGAATATAATTTAGCCCACGTGATATTTAATGATTGCATATGATATTCACCACTTGGCCTACTAAGAATGTTGCGCTTTGCTTCATGGTTTCCGAAACCAGGAAGGAAAAGGAATCATACTGGATACGCCGCCTTAGAACATTGAAACCATGCGGTCTAAACCAATAAAACTAGAAAATGAAAACTATGCACTAGTAGAATTTAACATTTTCTAAATCTTCTTATTATCCTTCAATTTTTACTATAAGAATAACCGGTATAGAATCAAATATCCGGGATATAATCTGCGTTACATATGTACACAAAGTAAAAATAGATGTCGCTTTGGCTTGTAGACTTTTAGGGAATTATACAACGTTTTCAGTTTCCGCAACTAGTCTATACAAGCTGGTTGTATTTATAGTTTTAGCACATGTGAAGACAGCAATGTAGAGGTTTACAAAAACAACGTTTTTGTGTTTATTTGTTTATCGTATATATGTTTTGTATTTGCCTTTGAAAAAGACTCATTAAGAGTCGAAAGCGCTTAGGCTAGTTAGTTACTAGTTTCGTACAGTTCGTCGTCAGTTTATTGCATCTATTTTAATTAATCCCTGACACACGTGATCCCTTGGTGGATCCAGTACGCTTGAAAGGATTGTTATTCGCCATATGATTTGTATTCTTTATATATATATATATATATATATATATATATATATATATATATATATATATATATATATATATATATATATATATATATATGTGCCTGTCGGACACTGGAGTAAACATGCATGGCATTTACCGATCGGGAGCAGTTCGACCAGAAAAAGACCAATATGGGAGCCCATTAGCAAGGCTTTTTGATGTTTATCACGTGCATCCTACACCAGAACCAGTATAGGTGTATTGTATTGTACCATTTATGGAGACACGCAATATTGAGAAACCATTCAACTGTGAGACGTGGGTAATAGTTCATTAACAAATCTAGTTTGATTAAACACTGTAGGATTCACATTTGTGAGAAAACATTCAAATGTGAAATGTGCCCGATTCAGATGTCAAACAGATGAGAGATTCCTTTACCCCCCCCCCAAAGAACAGAACTCCAAACATAATCACACTTGAAGATATGCACTAGTAAAGAAACTAAATCACATGCCAATTACGAAGGAGATTTGTTTAGCCAGAATTCACGTTTGGTATTAGCCTACACAGAGATATGGAAATACACGACCGGGAAAAACCTATCAAACAATTAAAATGTGAAATGTGTGGAAAGTTGTTTAGCCACATCTCTAATTTGTTAAAACATTTGAGAATTCATACTGGTGAAAAACCATTCAAATGTGAAATATGCGAAAAGTTGTTTAGCCAGAGCTCTAATTTGTCATCACACATGAAGATACACACTGGTGAGAAACCATTCAAATGTGAGACATGTGGGAAGTTTTTCGCTCACAACTCTAGTTTGGTTAAACACTTGAGGATTCACACTGGTGAGAAACCATTCAAATGTGAAATATGTGAGAAATTGTTCAGTGAGAACGCTAAATTATTAGAACATTTGAGAATTCACACTGGCGAGAAACCTTTCAAATGTGAAATATGTGGGAAATTGTTCACTCATAGGTCTGGTATTAAATCACACTTGAAGATACACACTGATGAGAAACCATTCAAATGTGAAATATGTGGAAAATTATTTAGAGATAATGCTCAGTTGTTGTCACACCTAAAAATACATACTGGAGAAAAGCCATTCAAATGTGAAATATGCGGGAAATTATTCACTCAAAATTCTGGTTTGTCATCACACTTGAAGATACACACTGGTGAGAAATCATTCAAATGTGAAATATGCGGGAAATTGTTTAGTCTGATGACAAATTTATCAAGACATTTAAAAACACACACTGGTGAGAAGCCATTCAGCTGTGAAATATGTGGGAAGCTGTTTAGCCTAAGATATAATTTGCTATCACACATAAATATACACACTGGCGAGAAACCATTCAAGTGTGAAGTAT